TTTGGAGTGTAGCATGCACTGCTGATTACTGTCTGTGATGCTCCTGAGAAGACAGAAGGTGTTTGGCTGGGAGGGAGATGTCCCCCCACCCCCGGCTCTATGCTAGGGTATTTCTGTGGGGGGATGAAGAGGAATTGCATTGTCAGAAAAGACATTTGACATTTTAAACAAATCTAGTAGGAGCATCTTCAGTGGGAAGTTTGCTTTGGCTTTGAGTCCTTTCAAGGTCCTGGTGGAAAGGACAGAAATAATCAGAGAGTCATAGACCTGGAGAATTTAAAGTGTCTGATGTAYACAGCACCTGGCCCATTACAAATGCAGATCACAGGGTGTGAAAATCGCAGCACACCCAATCACATGTCAGAGAACTTTTTATGACAGGACCCAGAGCCTTAGAATAGCAGAGCCGCAGCTTGTCAGATCTGGAAGGTGCTTGGAGCTCATCGAGCCCAGACCTGTGCTTCCCTGGAGGGCGAGGGACAAGCCTGTGGCCAGGGCCCTGGGCTCCACCCCTGCGTCTAACAGTCCTGCCCGCTTTTATCAGTTTGTAGGTGAGGTTTCCAGGTACAATTCCACTAGGAAACAGACTCCACCTCTGAAAGCAAGAGTGAGGTTTGGAATCCTGCTATGTCCTTGTGCCTGCCCGCTCCCAGCCTGCATAGTGCTCACAGATGAGTTTGAAAGAGGTCCACAGGGCTTATGCGGCTTACTTGACCAAGACCACACTGAAGGGAGTGACCTCAGATCCAGGGGTCTGACCTCAATGTTGAACAGGTGTGGGTGGGTGTCATCCCTGTCCACGGCCAGGGGAAATCCCTCCATGGCTTCTGGGGGGTTAATTCAACATGGGACAGAGATACTTTGTCATGCACAGGCCAATGAAGGAAACCAGGAAAGATCTCAGAGCGCTGCTCCATGCAACTGTGGTCAAACTTTTGTCACGACTTGGGTGAAGACAAGGTGCTACAACCACCTGTTCCTGGTTGTTGGAGTGGAGTTTCTGAGAGGCCAGAGTGGTGAGCTGAGCAGGAGGCGCTGCAGCCGGGTCTCCTTCAAGGTCCCTGGTCTCGAGCTGCAGACAAATGGTCTGTTTGAGGTCCCATCAGGAAGGACATGGTAATGTGCCTGCAGGTTTTCATTATCCTCAAACCCAGCAGTCATCTGTGTTAGGTGGCTGCTGTCGGGTCATGACCCTGGGTCTTATTTTTTGAAAACAACATCACATGCTGCGTTTAGCACTTACCTGTGCTTACTTGATTGTCTAAACTGTCTTCTCAAGTGGGGAAACTGAGGATTCAAGAAGACATGCCATTGGCCCAAGGCACACAGCAGAAGCCTGGGTGTCGGTAACTACCTTCTGCCACCTTCCATGTCTGTGAAAGGGGTGGGGAGTTCCACGGAGGTGGTTTGATTTATACCTATACCCTAAAAGGGTCTAGTGCCCCCAATAATGTACTCAYACGATTATTCAAAACTCGCCTCCTGAGGACGCGTGTGTGCTTTCTCACAAATGTGCGCATTCACCCACATTCAGATTTCTCCCTGGGACCAAGGAAGCCAAGGAGCAGGAGGCCCCACCCCAGGCAAGTGCCTGCTCGTAGCTTCCCCGAACAGCCTGTAGCTGGGCCAGCAAGCTGAGACTCGACCAGGCACCAGCAGCTTCCTGCTCCACTGAGGTGCAGGCTGGACCCTCTCCAGAGAGTTCCCTGAACCCCACCTGCACCCCAACCCAGGCTTTGATTCTGCCATGATATTGAAAACTAAAAATAACTAACGTCCTGAGTGCTTGTCCGTGTGCCGAGGGCTGTCATCAACACTTGGAGATGCATGATCTTATTCAGTTTTTATAAAAACCCCCAAGAGCAATGCTTTTAAAGGCCCATCTTACAGATGAAGAAACTGAGGTTCAGAGATGCTAAGTGACTTGCCCGAGGTGGTGCAGTTAGCCGGTGGTGGAGAGGGTGCTGGAACCAAGCAGACAGATTCATAAGTGGCCACGGCATCTCTTTCGGTTGGCGGTCAGGAGGAAGGTGCCTGGCTGTCACTCTCCACCTGTGCCTTGGGCAAGTCCCGCTTCTTTCTTTGGGATTTTATTTTCCAACTTCAAAAAAAAAAAAAAATTAAAAAGGAGATTATTGCTAAAGGCTCTGGTCTAGACCCTGGGGATTCAACCATGAATTACATACATAAAGCTCTTGTCTTCATGGAGCCTCGAATCAAGTGGTGGGGACAGTCATTAAACAAACAGGAATATGTTGGGTGGTGATAAGTACAGGTAAGGTGATAGAGAAGGCGATTAGAAGGAGGTGGCTTTAAATAGGCGGTCAGGAGGTAAGAGTTGAGCTGAAAACTGGATGGCAAGAAGGACCTTCCCCTGTGAGAATCTTAAATAGAGAGAGGCGGCAAATTCTCCTCAGGTTGGCCTGAGGAGAAAGGAGGCCTGTGAACTGCAGCTTGATGAACAATGGGAAGAGGGCTGGGAATGACCACTGGGGACCCAGGCAGGGCTCCGATGGTGCAGGGTCTTTGAGGCCATGGTCAGGAGTTAGATTTCATTACAAGTGCTATGGGAAGCCACTGGAGAATTTGAAATGTGTAATAAATATGAATTCATTTATGGTTTTATATGATGTCTCAAAAATCGTGGTCCCTGGTGCCGTAGCTAGGAGGATGGTGCTGGGAGCCCGACATGCCTCTGCCCTTTGCCAATGTGTTCGTTTGTGACAGCATCTTCCCTTAGCCAGCTGCTCTGTGGGTCCCACAGCTGGAAGCATCAAACTACCACCCAAGGGTGCCTTCTCTTTGAATCTTGTTCCCTCCAGGGAGACCCTGTCCCTGCTTCTTTCCCAACAGCTCATCTTAACGGCTCCCTCTGCCTGGCGCCTTGCAGCGCTGAGCGCCTGCCTTGTTGGGGCCTGCCCGGCTCTGGAGATGGCCTGGCGAACAGGAAGCTCCGCAGAGCAGGGCAAGCAGGGCTCCAGGGCCCGCTGCATGCACCCAGGCCACTGAGCTGCCTGCAGATCACACCTGGGCTGGGGTGAGGACTCTCTTCTCCTGGGATTGCAACTTCAAAAGCAATGCCATCCTGTGGAGCTTGGGGACCCCAGGACTCAGGGATCCCCTTCTGCTTGTGGGGACTGTTTCAGGGGCAGCGTGAGTGTAGCTTTTTCCTGTGGCTGGTCCTCTACGGGATCAGTAATGAGTAAAGGGTGTCAGCAGGGGGCAGACAGGGTGGGAACTAGGTGGCACCTCTTTCTGACACTGGCTTTTGGACATCAAGTGTGGACTTCTGCTTTTCTGAGGTGCCTGGGCTTAGGGCACCCCCAAGAAGAACTCAGGGGACAGAGAGTGATGGGAAGGTGGAAGAATGGGGGCATATTCGGGTTCTTTTCTGTCACAGATCCTCAGAACCCAGTTAGGCAGACTTTTCCATTCCTGACGCCCCACTTGGGCTGTTAACAGCCGGGTCCTAATGAACCCTGTGCCCAGTGCATTTTCTGGGCAGGCTTGGCTCCCAGCCTCTCCTTTCCCCTTGCCCTGGAAGCTTAACTCTTTCTTGCCTTTGAAGAGCAAGGTAACTGGAAAAACAAGTCCAACCTGCTTCATCCAGGAATGCTCCAGCACAGCAGGCTGGCAGCCAAGGAGCACCTAGGAATCAGGATGCCCAAGGACAGCCCAGGCACTTGTCTGCTGMACCCAGCCTTACTCTTGGCCTCTCAGCCTCTGTCCCTGGCCCTGGCCCCTGACCTATCCAGGCTGGATTCAGGGATTGGTATCATGAGAAACAGCAAGGGAGAGAATGGGGATGGCAGCAAGTCTTGGAGAGGCAAAGCTTTCGTTCATGGTCAGTTCAAAAAGGACTTTCCAGGGTCCGGTTCCTACTTGACCACCCACCGTGTGATCTGGGGCAAGACTCGTCCCCACTCAGGGACTCTTCCCATGGTTGCATGAGGAGTAGGGACAGAACTTTGTCATCTCTAACGTCCACTTCAGCTCTGACATTCCAGGAGTCTGGGGTGGTCTGTGTTCTGGTTACAGTATGAGTTGGCATCAGGCCCTGGTCACAAGGGGTGGGGACAGGTGAGCCTAAGCTTCAGGCAGGGGTCTGCAGCTCAAGGAATTTACCTCCTGGCTTCTGCTTTGCTTCTCAGTAGGTGTGGGGCCTGCCCTGCTCCCTTCCTGTTATTAATAACGGCTAACATTAGTTAAAACTTACCATGCTGTGTACCCTCTACGTCACTGACCTTGATTTAAATTTTTTTCACATTAATTCTTTGAGATTGATAATATTCTTATCCCATAAGAAGAAACTGAGGTTCACAGAAGTTCAAGAACTTGCCCAGAGTCGCCCACCGAGCAAAAGGTGGAGGGGTGTCAGTGCTAGGGGTGCCAGGCTCGGGATCCTGGCCACTCTGCTTCTCTGCAGCCCCTGCGTTAGGTCAGAGCTCTGGCTGGAGCTCAGCCTTGTTGGAGAGGTGCGGAGGAAGGACAGCGGGAAAAGGGGCTTAGAGCCAGATCACGGAGCTTGGGTGCCTGCCTAAGAGCCGGGACTATTTTACCATCACAGGGAGTTTTTGGGGAAAAGGAGTAAGTGATCTGGAGTGTGTGGTTTCTGCTAGGTGCTCCTGAGAGAACATTTTAAGTTGTCTACATTCTTGTTACAAGATGAGTCAGAATCGGCTCTGTCCCCAAGGATGGGTAGTGGGACAGGTGTAGATAGATCTTTTATCTTTCAGCTAGCTGAGCACTATGGACACTTGGGGCCAGGTAATCCTTGCTGTGGGGTCTGTCCTGTGCATTGTAGGATGTTTAGCAGCATCTCAGGCCTTTGCCTATTACAAGCCAGCAGCCTTTTGTCCCCAAGTAAGATAGCAAAAGATATGTTCAGAAATTGCCAAATGTCCCCTGAAGATAAAATGACCACCAGGTAAGAACCATAGCAATAGGAATTATTTCTTTCCTAACCTGCATCTTTTTTTTTTTTTTTTCATTTGCCAAGGTTTCGGGAGTTTTCTTTTTCCACCATGATTAATGCCTTGCTGGGTCTTGCTGCTTTGGTGCTTCATTGTGGGACCTGCGAGAAGCCCCCAGAAGGAATGGTCTCCTCCTCAGGGTGGCACTTTACACACTCGCTTTACAATGTTACCATCTACGAAAACTCTGCTCCCAAGACCTATGTGGAGAGCTCTGAGAAAATGGGCATGTACCTCGCGGAGCCCCAGTGGGCAGTGAGGTACCGGATCATCTCTGGGGACGTGGCCAATGTATTTAAGACGGAGGAATATGTGGTGGGGAACTTCTGCTTCCTGAGAATAAGGACAAAGAGCAGCAATACGGCACTTCTCAACAGGGAGGTGCGGGACAGCTACACCCTTATCATCCAAGCCACGGAGAAGACCTTGGAGTTTGAGGCTTTGACCCGCGTGGTGGTCCACATCCTGGACCAGAATGATCTGAGGCCCCTCTTCTCCCCACCATCATACAGAGTCACCATCTCCGAGGACATGCCCCTCAAGAGCCCCATCTGCAAAGTGACAGCCACCGACGCTGACCTGGGCCAGAACGCTGGGTTCTATTATGCCTTCAATTCAAGGTCAGATGCGTTTGCAATCCATCCCACCAGCGGCGTGGTCACCGTGGCTGGGAAGCTCAATGTCACCTGGAGAGGGAAGTATGAGCTCCAGGTGCTGGCTGTGGACCGCATGCGAAAAATTTCTGAGGGCAACGGATTTGGCAACTTGGCTTCGCTTGTGGTCCACGTGGAGCCTGCCCCCAGGAAATCCCTGGCCATTGCCTCAGTGGTGGTGACGCCACCAGATGACAATGAAGGTGCGGCCTATGCCACCATAGTGGTAGATGCAAACGGCTCAGGGGCTGAAGTGGACTCCCTGGAAGTTGTTGGCGGAGATCCTGGGAAGCACTTCAAGGCGGTCAAGTCCTACGCCCACGGCAACGAATTCAGTTTGGTGTCTGTCAAAGATGTCAACTGGATGGAGCACCTTCACGGATTCAACCTCAGCCTGCAGGCCAGGAGTGGGGGCAGACCTACATTTTATTCCCAGATCAGGGGCTTTCATCTACCACCTTCCAAACTAGCTTCCCTTAAATTCGAGAAGGCTGTTTATAGGGTGAAGCTTAGCGAGTTTTCCCCTCCGGGAAGTCGCGTGGTGTTGGTGAAAGTCACCCCCGCCTTCCCCAACCTGCAGTACATTCTAAAGCCATCCTCAGAGAGCCCAGGGTTTAAACTCAATGCTCGCACTGGGTTGATCACCACCACGAAGCTCCTGGACTTCCATGACCGAGCCCACTACCAGCTACACGTCAGGACCTCACCGGGCCTGGCCGCTGCTACGGTGGTCATTGACATCGTGGACTGTAACAACCACGCCCCCATCTTCAACAGGTCTTCCTACGATGGCACCTTGGAGGAGAACATCCCTCCAGGAACCAGTGTTTTGACTGTTACTGCCACGGACTGGGATCATGGGGAGAATGGATATGTCACCTATTCCATTGCTGGCCCCCAAGCTGTGCCATTCTCTATTGACCCTTACCTGGGGATCATCTCCACCTCCAAACCCATGGACTATGAGCTCATGAAAAGAATTTATACCTTCCGGGTTCGGGCATCGGACTGGGGATCCCCTTTCCGCCAGGAGAAGGAAGTGTCCATTTCTCTTAGTCTCAAGAACTTGAATGACAACCAGCCCATGTTTGAGGAGGTCAACTGCACGGTGTCTATTCGCCACGATTGGCCAGTGGGGAAGCTGATAATGACCGTGTCAGCCATCGATGTGGATGAGCTTCAGAACCTGAAATACGAGATGGTGTCGGGCAACGAAGCAGATTATTTTTCTCTAGATGACTTTTCCGGGGTGATATCCCTCAAACGTTCTTTTATGAATCTCTCCACCCATCATCCCACCAGGTATTTCTTGAAAATTACAGCCTCAGATGGCAAAAACTATGCTTCCCCCACAACTCTGAATGTGACCGTGGTGAAGGACCCTCGTTTGGAGGTCCCTGTAAGGTGTGATAAGACGGGGGTGCTCACACACTTCACAAAGACCATCCTTCACTCTGTTGGGCTTCAGGACCAGGAGCCCGGTGACGAGGAATTCACTTCCCTGAGCACATATCAGATCAATTGTCACACCCCCCAGTTTGAGGACCACTTCCCCCAGTCCATTGACGTTCTCGAGCGTGTTCCCATCAACATGCCCTTGGCCCGCCTGGCAGCCACTGACCCTGATGCTGGCTTTAATGGCAAACTGGTCTATGTGATTGCAGATGGCAATGAGGAGGGCTGTTTTGACATTGAGCTGGAGACGGGGCTGCTCACAGTAGCCGCTCCGCTGGACTACGAAACCACCAGTTACTACCTCCTCAATGTCACAGTGTATGACCTGGGCACTCCCCAGAAGGCCTCTTGGAAGGTGCTGACAGTGAATGTGCAGGACTGGAACGACAACGCACCCACATTTCCTCCTGGCGGGTACCAGCTAACGATCTCAGAGGACACAGAGGTTGGAACCACAATTGCACAGCTGAAAACGAAAGATGCTGACTCGGAGGACAACGGCCGGGTTCGCTACACCCTGCTGAGCCCCACGGAGAAGTTTTCCCTCCACCCTCTCACTGGGGAGCTAGTGGTCACAGGGTACTTGGACCGGGAAGTAGAACCTCGGTATATACTCAAGGTAGAGGCCAGGGATCAGCCCAGGAAGGGCCACCAGCTCTTCTCTGTCACTGACTTGATAGTCACATTGGAAGACGAGAATGATAACTCTCCCCAGTGCATCACAGAACACAGCAGCCTGAAGGTCCCAGAGGACTTGCCCCCAGGAACTGTGTTGACATTTCTGGATGCCTCGGATCCTGACCTGGGTCCTGCAGGTGAAGTGCGATATGTCCTGTTGGAGGATGCCCATGGAACCTTCCGGATGGATCCAATGACTGGGGCACTGAGTCTGGAAAAAGAGTTGGATTTTGAGAGGCGGGCTGGGTACAACCTGAGCTTGTGGGTCAGTGACAGTGGGAGTCCCCTGGCCCGTAGGACCCTCTGCCACGTGGAGGTGATAGTCCTGGATGTGAATGAGAATCTCCATCCTCCCCGCTTTACCTCCTTTGTGTACCAGGCTCACGTGCAAGAGAACAGCCCCTCAGGAACTCAGGTGATGCTGGTGTCTGCTCACGATGACGACAGTGGCCTGGATGGGGAGCTCCAGTATTTTCTGCGGGCTGGCACTGGCCTTGAAGCTTTCACTATCAACCAAGACACAGGTACTGGGGGTGGGGTAGGATGGGAAYGCTGGAATGCCTGGGACTGGGTGAAGGAAAATCAGGGACTGTCCTGAAAGAGATCAGGCAGCAGATAGAAATGAAAGACAATAAATAGGGATTCTCTTTCCTGATACCTTTATTGTACACACACACATACACACACACAAAATATGAAAGTAATATATGCTGCTTATACATCTTTATATAATTATAATTTTATATATATATATACTCACCTGCATTCCATCTCCCCAAATACAATCTTTTAAAAATTAGACCATAGACATATACATAGTATTTGGATTCATTTTGACAAAATCATACATGCATACATCAAATTCCATAATTTGTTTTCAATTCCTATTCCCTTTCTTTCCTCCTTTTCTCCTTCCTCTACTGAGCTTCCTACTTTATTGATTGATTGATTGAAACTTTCCACATATACCTAAAGGTGAAATTCCCCATGGTACATTTATATATGCATATAATGTGATTTTGTTAATTCTGTGTTTCCTCTCCTTTCCTGTCCTCCCTCTCTCTCAATCTCCTTCTTCAACTCCACCGATCTTCCTTATAGATCTATGATATCCGATCCCCTTCCCTATACTTCTTCTTTTCCTTGTGTTGCTATAGTTTCCAAATGTGAGAGAAAGCATTTGGCCCCTGATTTTTCTGAGTCTAGTTTATTTCACTTAGCATGATGTTCTTCGTTTTCATCCATATACCAGCAAAAGTCATTATTTCATTCTTCTTTATGGCTGAGTAAAACTCCATTGTGTATATATACCACATTTTTTTTGATCCTTTCATTTGTTCATGGGCATCTGATCTGGTTCTATAATTTTGCTCTTTGAATTGTGCTGCTATGAACATTGATGTGACTGTATTGCTGTAGTATGCTGATTTTAGATTTTTTGGAGGAATACTGAGGAGCTGGATAGCTGGGTCATACAGTGGTTCTGTTTCTATTTTTTGAGGAATCTCCATACTGCTTTTCAGAGTGGTTGTACTAACTTGCAGGCCCCACCAACAATGTATGAGTGTACCTCTCCCCCTACACCTTTGCCTGTACTTATTGTTGTGTTCTTGATAATTGCCATTCTGACCAAAGTGAGATTCAGTCTTAGTGGTTTTGATTTGCATTTCCCTAATTGCTAGAGATGTTGAACATTTTTTTGTGTATTTGTTTATCTTTTGTGTTTCTTCTTTTGAAAAATGTCTGTTTAGTTCTTTTGTCCACTTATTTATTGGGTTATTTGTTTTTGGGGCTTTGAGTTTTCTGAGTTCTTTATAAATTATGGATATTGATCAGAGGAACAGCTGGAAGTGATTTTGCCTATTCCATAGGCTCTCTCTTCATGATCTTAATCATTTCCTTTGCTATGAAGAAGCTTTGGCATTTGATGATATCCCACTTATTGACTGTTCGTTTTATTTCTTGGGCTGTAGGGGTCTTTTGAGGAAGTTGTTGCTCTCACCTTTATGATGGACCCTATGTGTTCTTCTAACTTTTGCAAGGTTTCTGGTCTAATTCCTAAGTCTTTGATCCACTTTTATTTGACTTTGGTGCAGGGTGAGAGATAGGTATCTAATTTCATTCTTCTACATATGGATTTCCAGTTTTCCCAGCACTACTTGTTAAAAAGGTTATCTTTTCTCCAACACATATTTTGGGCACCTTTGTCAAGTATCAGATGACTACAAGTAGGTGGGTTTATCTCTGTCTTCTATTCTATTCCATTGGTCTTCATGTCTGTTTTGATGCCAATATCATGCCATTTTTTGTTACTATAGCTCTACAGTATAATTTGAGATCAGGTGTTGTGATAATAATCAGAATTATTAATAATCAGAATTATTAATTCTGAACAAGATTATCTATCCATGAACATGGTCTTCTTCAATTTCTTTCTTCAGTGTTCCATAGTTCCCATTGTACAAATACCATCTTTATTAACAACTTCATCTATACACTGATTTTTTCCCTCTTTGTATCTGATATATTTTCACTATTTAATTATTACAAAACAATACACTACTGCTGAAATTTACTTTTTTATATAATGTCACCTCAGGACATCTTATTTTCTAGTACATATAATGTTTTTCATCCATTTTTATTTGGTGCATATTACTTTATCACATAGGTCTGACAACCTTATTTATGTTCTTTTACTCATATATATTAGTATCTTTAGGAAAAAATRTTTTATTTTTTATTTATTTTTGTGGTCCTGGGGATTGATATCAGGGCCTCGTGCTTGCTAGGCGAACACTACCACTGACCTACATCCCTAGTCCCTAGGAAAAACTCTTAAAAATGAAGTTAATGGGTCAAAGGTTAATGCATATAGTGCTGGGGATCAGAGTCCAGGGCCTTCTCACACATGGCTAACAGCTGCTCTACCACTGAACCCCAGACCAATAATGTACATTTTCCATGGCAATAGTTATTTTCAAATTTCCTTCCAAAAATGTGACATCAACTTACTTATTCTTTTTTTTTTTTTAAGTTTTGTAGAAAATAAGTGCAGTTTAGCAAGTACATACTGAGCACCAACTACTAAGAGGGACCTTGAAGAGATCCTAGGTGAATGAGGAAGCTTGCTGCCCTCAAGGAATTCACAACCTGGTGGATGATTTATTTACAATCAAAGGGCTGGCGATGTGGTCGAAGGGCTTTAGATGGTCAGTGCCAGACCAAGATCCTTCACTTCTCCCTGCATAATCTTGGTTAAGCCAGGCTCCCTCTCTGGGCCTCAGGTTCCCATCTGCCATTGCTGGAATGCTCTGCTCTGTTCTGAGCACAGGCCCTGCCAGTTGAGTGTGATCTATGAGAACTTAGGGTGCAAGTTTCTTTTTCTCACTATTGGACCTTCAAGTTCTAAAACAGAGCTGGCCCATAGTAAGCAATTTGTGGAGTGAGTGAGCTAAAGAATGGAGGTAAGTCCCCAAATTCATGAAGATGATGGAGAAGGAAATAGTGGATTTATTCATAAAATGCCTAATCCTTATATTGATGATCTATCAGGACTTAAAGAGTGAAGAAAACAGTCAAATGACAGTTACTGTTAGTTGGGAGAGGTTGAGGTTGGAGGATTACGTGTTGGAGCTCAGTTGGGGCAACTTAGGAAGACCCCATCTCTTAAAAAAAAAAAGGATTGCCCTAAGAAATGTAAAATACATCAATGGCACTTGGGTTGAAGTAGTTAGGAGAAAATGGATAAGCTACCACTACCTCCTTAAATCATATACAGGCCCATATGCCACATTCAAGAGCCTCTTTCAGCAAAAAAATGGTTCTGGGAGATTCCATAATTCAGACGTTAATTCCCCTATGTTCAACTCAACATCTCCCATGTCTACTTGGCAACCATTCTCTCTTTTTGTGGAATACTTATCCTATCCTTTCCACARTAAAAATCAGGGATTGGGTAGTGTAATTTCTAAAAATATTTTGAGCTCTAAATAATTTTGGGTTTGGTGATTCACCTGTCCCCAGGAATGATTCAGACTCTGATGCCCCTGGATCGGGAATTTGTACCCTACTACTGGTTGACAGTACTGGCTGTGGACAGGGGTTCTATACCTCTCTCTTCTGTCACTGAAGTCTACATTGAGGTCACAGATGTCAATGACAACCCACCCCGGATGTCCAGACCTGTGTTCTACCCCTCCATCCAGGAGGATGCTCCCTTGGGCACCTCTGTGCTTCAACTGGATGCCTGGGATCCAGACTCCAGCTCAAAAGGGAAGCTAACCTTCAACATCACCAGTGGGAATCACATGGGATTCTTCATTATTCACCCATTCACAGGTAAGAACCCAGAAATATAGATAAATAGGGATCTCTGCAATAAAGTTTCTCAAAATGTGGTACCCAAGCATCATCGCATCGCCTGCAAAGTGGTTGAAAATTCAAATCCTCACCCCAGACCTCCTGAGTCAGGATTCTGAGAGTGGATCTAGAAAATCTGTGTTTTAACAAGAAATTCAGGGATTCTAATGAGTCCTAAAGCCTGAGACACTTTTCTACTAAGTCCATCTCCACAGGAAAAGGAGAAGAATCTATTGTCAGCTTTCTTGCCTTGGTATCCAGCAACATCTGGGCTATTTCAGATCTCCAAATCCTCCCATGCGATCCCTCCTGGAGTCACAAGCATCAGTCAGAGAGCCACCTTTAACCTTAGTTCCAGACGGATCCCAACTTTACCCACACAGTGGCAATAGGGATCCACTTAGAACTCTCACTAGCAACTGTCCTTGGTCCAAGAACATGTGGAGAAAGGATGGTGGATGGGTTAAAGGAATGCAGCAGTCACCAGTTGGCAGCAGTGAGCCAGGTATAACCCACAGGGGTGTTTTGTCTGACTGGCACAAGCTTTTTTGGAATAATAGTACTTTTATTCATTATTGGTAGAATGCAAGAAGGTAAAATGTTGTCATAGATCAGTACCTTTTATAATTAGAAAGAAACATACAATTTGACCCAGTAATTTTATGTGTTGATGTGTGTGTGTGGGGTGTGTGTGTGTGTGTATTTCACATATATATTTCTATATAATATATTCATAAATATATAAAATGACTTATTTGGCACAAGCTTTAAACAATGATTTTTTTCCAACATTTTAAAATTGGCAGATTCCACAAAGCATCTCAGATTTCTGATTTTTCTTCAAAAATGGAAAGGTCTGGCCACACTATCTCCATCTTTCCATAGGGCCACATTATACCAGAGACTGGCAGCAGCTTCCTGAGCAGACCAAGGTTATGTCCTCTGGTCCTCATGGTCCCTGTGGTCCCCATCGTCCCCTATGGTCTTTTTCTCAGTCTACAACCTCATTTACACCTGCCTAGCTCCCACTGGCACTGGAGTTTGAGAACCACTTTCCAGTGCTGGGGGAACTTCTCGAATGCCACATCTTCCTCTCAGAAGATGAACAACAGCACTGTTGTAGAGAAGGCTGGCATTTTTCTCCTCTGAACACAACATCCCATTCCACAACCGTTTGCCATTGTCCTAGAAGGACAGAACCCTGGTAAGACTGGAGTAAGGGAAGAGGGAGAATGCTAGTGGGCTCTGCCTTGACCCTGAAGACCAAGGAGGTTCTGGGAGGGAGTTCTGGGGCAGACAGTAAGTGGGTAATACAAGTGTCTATTTTCCCCAGGGACATTTGTTGGGTGCCTTTCCTATTAACCTTGGAGCTCAGGGTATGGAGTAGTCATCCCAGAGGAGGATGCTTTTCTAGTGGAGAACAGGCTTAAGCTGGTTTTCTATCTGGTCCCACCCTGTCCCTCCCCTTTTAGAAGAGCTAAGAGATCTCTCACCTGAGGCATTAACTTCTCAACTTCTTCCAAATCCCTGTTCTGTTGACTATCAACAGTTCCCTGACAGCATTTCTGGCAGAACGCCCTAGAAGGCAGAGATGTTCTTAGTTTTCCTGCAGTTGAGGAGAAGAAATCTTTATTAGCATGAACTTTTTAAAAGTAAAAAAATCTATCTGCCATGATTCCAGCCTACCATCCTCATCTTCATCATTGCATTCCCCATTTCCTACAGGGGTAGCTGAGATGCTTGTTTTGTGCTTTTAAGAGAAAAGTCAGAGTTTGCCATGTCCCATGGAYTCATGCCGGACCCAGCCCTGCTGACCCCTCTGGCTTCGTCTTGCCCTCTCATGCTGCTGTTCTCTGGGTTCCAGTCACATGGCTGCTTCAGTCCATGGCTGCTCCTCACCCAGAGAGAATTTTCCTKATACCATAATACACTTCCTGGCACCATTTGCTCTCTTTCATAACATGTATAATACAGCCCATTATGTTCATCTGTATGTTCACTCCATGAATTATCCTTGCCCACTAGACTTCAAAGGTTCCCCAGAAAAAGGACCTTTACTATTTTTGCTGGTCACAATATAATTAGTACCTGGCATATAGTAGAAGCTCAGCAAATAATTGTTACATGGATGAATGCATTTCTTGGCTTTATTCACAATCTTTGCTTAAACCCAAGATACATTCATTTACTCAGCAAATGTTTAAAGGTACCTGCCCTGGTGAGGCCTTTAAATGATGTGCAGTGGAGAGATGTGAAAAAAATAAAACATGGTTTCAGGCTTTGGGAAATTCAGTCCATCAGGAGCATGAATATTTAGATGGAAGGAGTACCGAACCAGTGCAAAAGAACACAGCTTTGTAAAACAGGAGTAGGTGTGGTGCCCTAGCTGATCAGAGGAGGAAGAAGATGATCCGGTCTGTGTAGTGGGTCTGCAGCTGCTTTTTGGAATAAGGTGAATATAGGAAGTTAAAGGTTGGGGAGGATTTTTACAGACAGCAGTCAGGGAGGGGACATGGACAAGGGGAAGGACATGGACAACATCCAGGAGAGACAAAGACCAGGATCTCATTGAAGATACAGCAAGCAGGTCAATTTTCAAAAGGCATATCCCAGTTCCTCTACTTATAAATGGTGGTATCTTGGGAAAGTTACTTTTCTGCTTACATTAGTCCAGTTTGTGTTGCTGTAACTGAGTACCACACATTAGATAATTGATAAGGATTACAGGTTGATTTACTGCACAGATCTGGAAGCTGGAAACTCTAAGAGCATGGTGCTGGCATGGGGTGGGGGTCTTCTTGCTGCATTATAACATGGCAGAAGGCATCATATGGTAAGACAGAACAAGTGTGCTAGTTTGAGTGTCTTTTCCTCTTTTGATAAAGCCACTAATGCCATACTGGGGACCTTACTACCCCCAACTCATCTAATCCTAGTTAGCTTCCAAAGCCCCCACCTAAAAATACCATTAAGATATGAACATGAGGATTCAGTTGCCAACCCATGAACTTTTGGAGGACACATTCAAGCCATCGTGCCTGACTTCTCACCTGTAACATGGAGATGGTAGCAGCTCCCTCCTGGACAATTGTGAGCATTAAATAAGTTAATAGGTAGAAAAATAGAAAGATGAGAAGAAAGTCTGGGCCCGTGAGAGCTCAGTGAACACTGGTGCTGGGGGAGGCTGGGGGAGGGAAGAACAGGGAGATGAAGATGAAAAGGTAGTTGGGGAAAGAATTGCACTGCAGTGGGTCAAGATGAAAGGGATAAGGGGTCTATCTGAGGAGAGTCTGTTAGAAAAAGATTGGATGAGGGAGGGGAGGAAGGGAAGGGTTAAGGAAGGGTCTTTGTTTGGAGGGGAAAATGGTAAGAGATGAATCAGTCGAGTGACACTAAGGGCCAGGAGAGTTGAGGGGCATTCCACACACCTCCTTAGTGGGTCCTCGGCAGCCCTGTGTGGAAGGCTCTGATGTCCCCTCATTGTATATGGGCAATCCCTGGGAATTTGGACATGTGTCAGAGAATCTGCCATTTGTCAGAGAAGGGGGTCAAGGTAATAGGGAGTAAGAGCTCAGGAGGCCACGGGGCAGTGATTCCAGGAACACAAGCCCTTATGAGGTAGGGGGAAGCAGTGGTGAGAGAAAGATAAAAAAGATAAAAGGAAGAAAAAAGAAGATACCGAGAGAGGGAGGGAGAAAGCAAGAGAGGGAAGGGAGAGGAATGGAGAGAGGGAAGACAGTGAGGGTGAAAGCCCGAGATTCAGAAGACAGAGAGAGAGAGAGAGAGAGAGAGAGAGGGGAGAAAGGAAGAGAGGGGAGGGAGAGGGATATTCAGGAAAAAAGGGAATGAAGAAAGAGAAGGGGCAGGGGGAAGGGAAGAAGGAGACCAGAGGGCTCACCCTGAGACCCAGTACCCCTCACACTCTTCCTTGGGGCGGRAGTGTCCCAGAGTCCAAGCTTTTCTTTCTCCAGCCCCTCAGCTTAGGGATGAACTGAATAGGTGACCAGGGACGGCACACACCAGTCCCAGAGGAATGTTATGCCTTGTTTCCACTCATCTTCCTTCTGTCTGGAAGGGTGCCTGGACATGGGGCTTTCCAGGGCATCTTCCCTGACCACTCCCATGCCTGCCGTCAGGGAAGAAGAAGCTGGGACAACACATGTTCTGCTCCAAGAGGGGGGTCACATGCTCCTGACAGAGACCACCTCCTCACCCCAAGCTCTTCTCTTTCACTGGAGGCTCCACCCCAAGGTGGAATCCCCTTTGCCTTCACTGCACCCCACACAGAACCTCCATTCTCTTTACTGACCTTCCAGCAAGAGCGGACTCTCGCTTCCCTTATCTTCATGACTTCGTGACGCTTAAACAAAATCAATGAACTTACTGACAGTTTTCTGATGGTTCACGGATGGCTACCAATGGCTTTGTTTCTCTTTAGAGGACATTTTTCATACTCAACCATGACCTCTTAGGCTGAGGGCTTAGGATGACATTAATAACAATAACCTCAACTTCTGAGGTTTCCAAATCTTGCAAAGAACTGGCTTCTAACTCTCCCTTGTTTCCTCAGATTAGAGTCATTAGGTTAGAGTCTGTCAGGAACAAGGGATTTCCATCCAGCTCAGTTCTTTCTGAGAGGATGGGCATCTGAACAGGTGAGTATTTGAGTGGGGCAGGCATCTATCTGATTGGGTAGGTATGAGTGGGCTGGCATCTGACTGGGTGGGTATGAGTGGGCTGGCATCTGATTGGGTGAATATCTGAGGGGGCAGGCATTTGATTGGACAGGGTGATGATGCTGGGAGGTTGCTGAGTTTTTGACCCATCACCCCAAGCAATTGTAGGTGGGAACTTCGGCTAGCACATTATCACTGTTGTTCTCTTTTACCACCTCACTTTCCCTTCCCTTCCCCTTAATATACTTGCTCTCCAAAGACTGGAAGAATTCCCATCTGATAATTCTCATGGAGTATAATCCTGAACTCACCTCAGTGCAGTGGCTCTGGGAGCCCTTTGCTCACATCTGCCTCCTACCATTTCTCCCGTAGGTCTCCTGTCCACCGCCAAGCAGCTGGACCGGGAGAACAAGGATGAACACGTTCTGGAGGTGGGTCATCAAAGAAAAGTAGCGCAGGCTAATCACACACACACACACATACTTCCTCTGCACAGAGGAAGGGACAGCAGCAGCAACTGCCCCTTGAATGTTACCTTTTATAGGCTAAAATCATGGCCTCGTGCTAGGGGCAGGTTTAGTCCAGATCTTGTGGAAGGCAAGTTTGTTTCTTGGGAACAGAGACAGAAAGGAGAACAGGGAAACCAGCGTGTCCCTTTATTTTCTCAAGGTAAGAACAGGGAAACCAGCACGTCCCCATCTCAGGGGTCAGTAAGTTGTCTCTTATCTCTTGATAAGAACAGGGAGAGATCGGCCAGTCTCCAGGCTGGTAGGTTTTATCTCGGGCTAGGTTCTATTTCTTGGGAATAACAACAGTATTCATAAAGTGGGKGTGGGGGAAAGGAAGCCGGCTACAATTATGCCAACAAGTAATAGTGGTGAACCTGGTCACTGAATTTGTAATGGTTTATGGGGCCACGGCAGACATTGGAGTTGCATACATGTCTGGTACTGTGACTGAGGAGAGTTCTAGGCTCAGGGAAGAGGACAGACTTGAACTGAGCCTTGTTGTGGTTAGTGATAAAGGATTGTTGGGTCTTTGCTGCTCATCAGCACTGACAAGGGAGGTCATGTCCTTAATAATGTCTGAAGTAAGTGTGGGAAGGAGGAGCAGTATACATGTGCTATGTGCTTCTCAGGTCTGGTTTCTAGTACAGCCCTCTGGTCCAGAAAGAGACTCACCCAAGGTCAAGCACTAGGTTAGTGGAAGAATCTAGAATACATATATATGTTTATATATATATATATATATATTTGTCATATGTATATATATTTGACATATATGTATATATTTGTCTTCTATGTTCACAGACTGTGCACAGAAATGAGTATTACTAGTAACAGCTAAATGGTCTTCTAGAGTTTCTAGGGACTGACAAATTTGCCTTTAAAAATTTAAAGTATTTTAAAAATCTGGAATCACTGTAAGTGGTAATGTCCTATCTCATGCTGTGTTCTTAGGGCTTATATGCATGGAATGATTTGCCCCTACACAAAATAGYTTCTGAGTCTGAAATTGCTTTAGTGTCTTTTCTCTCATTCTGAATTTCATTTCGTGTATCGGGTTCCATGTCTTGACTCAAGAGGTTCCACCCATTCCTGCATAAACATATTCTAACCTCAAGTAKCTCAAAGGAACATGAGCTACTGTGAAATACAAACAAATAAAAAGTAGATAGTCTTTTTGGAATGGCCCATGGGCCTTGCTGGGTAAAGAGCACCAGCTTTGGTCTGGACACTTTGATCTTGACTTCTTCCACTTCTCTCTGGTTCCTTTCTCTGTTCTCGTTGGTTTTCCTGTGGACAAAGTTACTAGAGAGCTGTATTCCGAGCAAGTGAGGTCATGGTAATAAAAATAACAAGCATATACCAAAGAACAAACTAATATTAAACAGACTGTCAGAGCAGTGGTCATGTTGTGCTGGGTGGTGGTACATATGCACGACTTTGTATTTCTCAGTCCAGGTCCTCATGCTCAATTCTGTCTGCAGGTGACTGTGCTGGACAATGGGGAGCCTTCCCTGAAGTCCACCTCCAGGGTGGTGGTGTGCATCTTGGACGTCAATGACAATCCACCTGTATTCTCCCACAAGCTCTTCAATGTTCGTCTTCCAGAGAGGCTCAGCCCAGTGTCCCCTGGGCCTGTGTACAGGCTGGTGGCTTCAGACTCAGATGAGGGTCTCAATGGCAGGGTTACCTACAGCATTGAGGAGACCGATGAGGAGGGTTTCAGCATTGACCCAGTCACYGGTGTAGTGTCATCCAGTAGCACCTTTACGGCCGGAGAATATAATATCCTAACGGTGAGCAAATAGAGAGAGGTCACAGAGGAGGGAGTCGCAGAGTTGGCTGGGATTTTTTCTGTGAGGACACAGGAGGAGGGAAGCAGCTGGTAGCATGATGGAAATGGAAGCTGGGAGTCTTGACTCCAACCAATTCTGGATCTTTCTCTGTGCACAGAAAGAGACTGGGAAACCCTATCTGTTCTTTTAGATAAGGATTTAGTGAGATTAACAAAGGCTCTGAAATCAAGATGTGCATGGGTATTGATCCTAGCATCTGTGTGATCTTGAACGAGTCATTTAACTCTTTTGAGCCTTTGTTTCATCCTCTGTCAACTGGGAATAAGAACATTATTCTTGCAGGAAGACAATGTACCAAATGGGTAGGCCTTGGGTCATCATGTCAGATGGCCTGAATTCAAGAATCTCAGCCTTCTTGCTGGCCAGGCACATAATTTGGTGGGTGAATTCAACCATCCTGAGCTCCAGTTTCCTCCTGCAGAAGGAAAATGATAATAGACCCTCTCCTTGGCCTACCATGAAGATTAAATAAGACATTGCACACAAAACTCTCAGAGCAAGGTCTGATAGTAGGAAGAGCCTAATAAAGTCCAGCTTTCTGTTTATAGTTGTTGGGAATGGTAAAGGGCATATATACGCAAAGTTCAGTTTATGRACTAGCACACAGTAAACCTTCGCTTAATGGTGGCTTTTATTATTTTTCACCAACCAAGAGGTTCTAGACCACAAATTACGTGTTTTACTTAACCACTGTGGTTATAACAACTAACACAATGCCTGTGTATASTGATCCCTCAAGAATGTGTCAAATGAATGAGTCAATGGACAATAGGTCAGCTTGGTGGTGGCTCAATTTTGGTGCTGGTATCTTTATAGATCAAGGCAACAGATAGTGGGCAGCCACCACTCTCAACTAGTGTCCGGCTACACATAGAATGGATCCCCCAGCCTCGACCATCCTCCATACCAATGGCCTTTGATGAAAACCACTACAGTTTTACTGTCATGGAGACAGACCCTGTGAACCACATGGTGGGGGTCATCAGTGTAGAGGGCCGACCTGGCCTCTTCTGGTTCCACATCTCAGGTGAGTCCCAAGAAGCACCCGTCACTTCTGTCTTTGTAAACCAGTTCTAGTCCTCAGTGTGCAGTCCTTCTGACCTCCCTCAAGGTCATGCTCTTTGGTGGCCCCTCTTTGGGCCCTGAATGGTGATCATGCTTCTCAGGTTCTCTGGGGCAGTGAGTAGTAGCTTTTGTCAAGTTTTCTTTCCATTATAGCCATGATCTCAGGTGGAATGTCTTGTGATCTCACTGGTGACCCCAGACAGGGTTGGGCAGTGCTTCAGTTACTCCAGATGCCTAGGAAACCTGAGATGAATGGTGCAGAAAGACCCAGAGGCAAAAAACATGAAATACTGCTAGAGATGACTTCCTGAGATGAGCCTGAGGGTAGTTATACCCTGGGGCCGTGTTCAGCWTACTTGTCCAGGTTCTTCAAGACCCAGGGAAAAATGCTCATTCTTATTCTTGCTTTTGGTGCTGGAGATTGTAGCCAGGGCCTCAGTCATGCTAAGCATGTATTCTGTCACTGAGCTACAGCCCTAGCYCCATKCTCCTTATCATTTTAAGAGGAACTTGGGTCTAAGCTCTGATGGGCTCCTCTAACATACATTCCTCTCTATCTCTAAATCATAGTGGTTTTTGTTTTGTTATGTTTTTTGGTGGTGGT